GGGATGGAAACACTGAAGACATTTTATGTGCTGCCATTGCTTATACTCTGTTTGAGATTGTTGCAATCACAAATTATGCACTACTCTGAAACACTGCATACTTTGACCAATATGAATTGCAACATTTTGCTGAGGAGTCACAACATGTTGTGTCACACTCCATACACCTTTGAGCCAGAAGTATGAACTGAAAAGAGCAGGAAAACTTTGCATTGCCATTTGCTGCTGAAAGCCAACCTCCATCTGAAAACATTTGTGAGTAGTTTGATTTCTATTGAAATGTACATTTTATTTGCTTTACTAAGAAATCAGACTAGGTTTATTTAAACTTCCAGATACATAAGAAAAACAACTTTAAAACCAGATATTGTTGGCAATAGATTATTTTCTAATTTTCCCCATTGTTCACATATGCATTGAATTAATTTGGTCCACAAGTTATCTAATCAGAGGAAAGAAACCAAGCCATTTTGCTTATACAAATAGCAAGTATGCACATTTTACACACGTTACAAAGGGGCTCTTCGGTTGTTGTTGGTTTTTAGCTAAAATAAGTCATTAATAATTTGTATAGAGAGCCACCTGAGAATACTGTTCACAGTGCATGGGCAATTAATGCATAGAAAAATATTTTCAGAAATTAATCATTATGATTGTCTTGTTTCACTCAGTTTTCTAACTCTGAAATGTTGTACTCTTGGTTATTTATATGAAAAGACAGGAAGAATGTTTCCAGGATAATAAAAGCATTCTGGATGGGGGCGGGGGGGAAGTTTGATCTTCCTTGTATCTATAACCAGTAATTACCATGTCATTATATTTATACCAACAGTCAAGCACTTTGCTGGCATAAACAGACACACCTCTTTCAGCAGCAGGGTTGCAATCACACACGCTGGTAGCTATCTTCATCCAAAATGCACTGACAGTTAAACGCAAAGAATGTATAAATGATTGTCCAGATCTTTAGCTGGTTCATCACACAACACTTCACTGAAGTTAATAATGCTGTACCATCTGATAAAACATCCCATTATTCACAGCTTAATTAAATTGTGCATGGAAAGTTAACAGAAGGAGGTAATCAACCAATGCAACACAAACAACACAAAACTCAGTGCAGCAAGCTTAAGCAACACATCACTAATGGTGGAAAGAACACTTTTGGAAAGCACTCAGTGTCAATAAAGACATCCCTTTTAGTATTGATGAAGCAAGGCAGCTATCAGGGCACAAAAAACACATCTTAACTCACCTTTTCCTGGAGCAAGCACTAATGTTCAAGCACTTCGCAGAAAGATGTTACAAAATAGCCTGATGGGAAACATTCTTCTGCACAAGTAATAGCAGAAAGGACTATAAGCTAGTGGCAGCCAGGTAAAGGAAGAAAATATCTGCAATGCTTGAGGTGGAACACAGTGTTCAGCTTTTAAGCAGCAAATAAATCTTGAGGGGCAATCCCTCTCACCTTACACAATGTTTTTGTCTGGCTCAGCATGCTAAATCCTATCTTAACGTCAGGATGAAGTTTGATTTAATGATGAAAGTAACTTTTCTTTTCACAATCAATTACCTTACATAAATAATCTCTTCATAAATAATCTTAACTAATGAGCAGACTATCTCAAGCATTAAAAACCGAGGAACCTCCATTTTAGGTACTTCATAAGAGAAGACAGACCAACTGGAATTGACCTTAAGTGCTTTTCAGAGCTCTGTAATACATCCCAGGTGGTCACCTGGGAAGACTTAGACTTCCTTTCAGCTGACAGAAATAAGTACTACAGGGTGAAAATCACTTCATCAACTACAGTCACCTGTTTTGGGATGAGATTATAACAATTCCCTGGTGTGACAACATGTGCAGGCATTTAAAATTTCAGGCAGCAGCACTGAGAACCCACTATCTGCAAAGCAGAATCTACCTACTTAGAAATCTTCAAAGGTACAAATTTTCAGTTCAAACTGACTATTATATATTTGGTTCTTTGGCTTTATTTTCTCATTGCCTGTAAAATTATCAGGGTTCTCCACTGTTTAAAATAAAACCACTCATTCTAGTGCTATAACTTTTGAACACTTTAATAACTTAGCCAATAGTTTACTTGTAACAAACTGAAATGGTGTTTATAAAAAAAAATTAGGCTGCATCAAATCTTACCTCTGAAAAGGAAGACTCAAAATATGTGGAAAAAGACTGTTTTCCTGCAATTTTCTTGAGCAAAACTCTTCAGCTTCACTGGGACAGAAACCCAGCTAATACACCCCCAAAATTACACTACTGAAGGGAACAACAGTGCTGCTCTTTCCTGTTGAGAGCAGATGGGAGCAATAATACCTTAACAAAGCTTCAAGGTAAAAAATGAACCCAAATATTCATTTAAGTTACATTTTGCACTTGCAAATTAAAAAGAGCCAGGACATGCCCTCAAGAAGCTGGCATGTGATTGTCCACACTATTTAACTAGCAATAAGCCTCCTGACAAGGGCTGTCCCTCTAACCCAGCACTTTCTCATGCCACACAGAGGCCTCTGGTCAGGAGATAACACAGCGAAGGACAGCTCCCTCTAGACATCACAGATGAGGCCACTTCTTTGCAAGGAAGAGAATTTAGCCATGCTAAAGCCCTCAGGGGAAGGACTGAGTGCTGGCCTGTTTTTATTAGAGCTAAGGTAGCCCTAAAGACCGGATGGGACATTGTGGGCACCTTTAAGTGCAAGATCAAGATTGTATCTGGAAGACTCACCATACCGTGGTGTTTCAAGCACTAATGAATACATTCATGCACAAGAGCAATTTTCCCAAATTAATTAGGATTACTCCTATGTATAAAAGTATGCCAGCGTAGGTGTGTGCAGAAGAGGTCCTGGAATGTCAGTCATCATATACCCATCAGTTAAAGCACACTCATAAATGTTGTTTGAAAGATTGTACTAACCTTAATATAAAAGATATGTTTTCTGGGTCTGATGACTCAAGAAGAACTTGCAAGTCTATACTTTAACTTACTCATCTTATATAAATAAACTTTCCCCTTGTGGAAGGGAGTCCTATGACATTAATAAATAGGGATCTTTCTCAACCAGACTCAGATTCTGTAAGAATCGCTTAGGAACATTTAGACTAATTATTTGTTGCGAATTATTCACTTGACTCTGTCTCTTCAATCAAGAAGCATGGCACTATTTCTTTCAGCAGCACAAGCCAGTACAATAGAATACTCTCATACCCAACACCATTTAATTAAAGTCTCAGCTGGGAATAGTCACGGATCTTAACAAAGTTTTGAAGGTGTGAATGCAGGCCCACTGGAGTGAAAGCCTCACCTATTCAGTTTGCCTCTGCACCTGACTACCCCAATTTTCCTCATGGGGCTAAACTTTAGCGATAGTACATTAAAAGGCTAGAGTAGGAGCAAGAGGGTACTGGGTGTTACATCCTGCCTTCAAAATAAACTCTATCCAAGCCACCAAGATTTACTCACAGAGATGACTACTTTTTAAAGTAGCACTGGAGGAGGCCATTTTCCCCACACCACTTAGATAACTCTTAAAAAAAAAAATCTTTAATCTGTGTTGGGCCATGTTGATATTCTTGGCACTGACCGTGTGTCAGATGGAAAAGGTAAAAACGGACTGTCTTCCAAATCCTTATGGCATAAATAAATCAAGCTATGAATAAGAACTCTCATAAGTGATGAGTAAATATCTCCATTGCCTGATCCATCAATGTCAGGTGCCAGAGCTCATAAATGAATACTGAAGTCTGCAGATCTTTGAAACCCTTTGTGAATGTCATGCTCTGTTTCTTGTTCACAATCTCCGTTCTTAACAGTTGCTAGATATTTTCACTAGGAAAAAAAATAAAAGGAGAAAATATTTTGTACAGAAATGACAAGCAGAAAGAACTTTCAAACTGAAGCACCCCAGCCCCTTTAGGAATTACATACTGATGTTCAACCTTCACTTTTGCTTTTTTTTTTTTTTTGTAATTTTTATTCCATGTAAAACAAAACAAAACCAAAATCAACCACAAAAAAAATCACCTCCACTCCTCAACCACCCCTAGCCATGAAAGACTGGAAAAGTATACTCCAAGAGACAAAACGTAGATGAAAGACAATCACTTCCAAAAGCACCATGGGAAAAGAAAAGCCAGAGAACTCCCTAGCCTGAGGAAAGCTGTAGAGGTGAGCAGTCCAAAAAATTACACCAGCAGAAGCAGTCAAATTGGAGATTGTTGGGCATCCTGAAAATTTTCTGCAGTCTAAATGGAACTGTTCTGCAATGTGTTCTCAGTTGGAGCTCTCTGCTCCAACTTTCTCGTGATCTTCACCTCTTCATCTCAGCTTTGCTCCCTTTTCTTTTCCCATGCTACATTTAACCTGCCTGATTCCCTCCCCCATATATTTCCATTAATTTATTTTTTACAGTAAGAATAAAAAGGTTCTGAAATGTCATTTCCATCATAAAAACAAAATGTCAAAACCTCCCAATATTTTTAAAATGGAAAATGATCCGTGTAAAAAGAAACCCTAAGCAGCATGTGGCGCCACAGTAGAAATTACAATGCCGGAGAAGTTAGAATCCTGTTTGTGCTAGACTCCCTCTGTGCATGCATACTCACCCACTCCCTCCTCACAGTCCTGACTGACTTAGAGGGAAGGAGCCATTGCATTAAAGCAGATTTGGAGATGTTTAGTAAGACCTGGTCATAAGCAAACAAATCAGGACTACTGACAGGTTTACAGGGCAGAAGATACAGGGTGTGACACACCACAAAGTCACTTGCAGACATTAAACTGGCACAAATCCGTGGACTATGTTTTACTTACCAGTCTTGGGCTAACACCCAAGACTTTTCTCTCCTTGCGAAGGTATGACGTCAGGCACATGGCAGTTCTTGAGATTCTGTATAAGCCAGCATTGCCAGAGGCTCTGTGCAGGTGTGGTTAACAGTTATTTAATGATTCTTCACAATTGCATGTATCTGTCTGAACATAAATACAGTCTGATCGTAATCTTTCTTTTCACACCATGAATTTGCCCTTCTGTTTCCACCCTTGCAGGTTCCCAAATGCCCAACGTCTGTTATTACAGACCTGAGATTCACTTCATCATTTCAAACCATTCACAAGCACTTTGCTGTCCTGTTGGCTCAGTAAGGTGAAGAGAATGAAGGCAGTGTATTTAGTACAAATGCTCCAGTTCTTCACTTAAATTCTGTATATTTGGCTCCTTGATGACTCATGGGACTCTCCTCCCTTCTCCTTGTTTACGCAGTGATGACAAGTATTGTTAACTTTCTAAAAGCAAAATTATCAAAAAGTCCCCAGAACGCTGGCAATTCCTGGGAAAAGCTCTCTGTCTTTCCTCTTTCTCAGCAGTTGCAGGAGCCTGAGCAGTTGCACAGTTCAATTAGTCAAAATAATTTTGAGTGATAGTTCAACTGTTTCTTTTCCAAAAGGTAATAGTTTTCCTAATTAGTCACTTGCTTTGATAAGGCACTGACTTTTACTCTAATCTAAATTAACAAGACTTTATCTACCTGCCTCATTTAAACACACCCTACTTGCAAATCTGGTATGACTAAAAACCATGACAAGTGTTTGGTTTCATTTTACATTTGCTTCAAAGTGCCCCACTTGGAGGTTAATTATTAATCTACTAAAGTATATGTAAAGGTTCAGGGAAACAACAGGGTTAGTAGGTAGAGAAGTAGTGGAGGAATTAGGAAACCCATGTTCCATTCCCATCTTAGATCATGTAAGTTTGGCCAAGACATTCAAACCCTGTGAACCTTTACTTAGAGAACCAAAATAGCAACACTCTGCACAAAGCACTCTGACAACTGTTGGGAAGAAATTTCATGGGTGTGAGGCAACAGGATGTTTATTCACACCTTAAAGAGACTGAAACTCAGCTAATCCCTTAAGAACTCACCTAGGAACTGGAAATCAAATACACAGTGCATGCAACTCAACAAAGTAATGATTTTATTACATCTGCAGCAACAGAAGGACCAGCTCTCCAAGTATTTGCTACATTTCTCTGGAAGGTGGTGAAAACATGCTCGATTTTTAGAACCAGTTTGCAGGATATAAATCCCCATCCCTCGCCACCTGAGGTACTGCAGTGGATGCACCCTCGGTATAACTCTGCTCTCTGTTCCAGGAGTAAGCCAGCAGCAGCATGGACCAGATTTTCAAAGATTCCAATGGTTCTGGAGCTGTCCAGGAGGGCTGCAGAGGAGGAAAACAGAACACAGCAAACAGAGGACAGAAAATGCAGCAGAGAGGTCCAATCTCGGGGTAGTACTGCCAAATCCTGCCTACCACAGCAAAGTCTGACTGTCAGCAGCTTGCTCCCAAATAGCTCCATTATAATGCATTTTACTTTGCCTTGTAAAAAATAAAAATCAAGAAGGTTTTCACACCATTAATTATTCATAGATTTGGCTAAGGCCTATATAAATCATGGGATTCCACCCAGAAATAACTTTTTGAAAGCAAAGAAATAACAAAAGAAATCCAACCCAGAAGTAAGAATGTTAAATACTTATTGCTGTTCAACTGGAATATTATTGGCAAGGTGATTAATTTGTTGATCCACAGTGCTATAAATAGTACTTTAACTTCATTGAATTGAAACATATCCTTCATATCTCAAGTCACTGTTTACCCATGTCAAATATATGTGGGTTTGAGTTGGCTTAGGTGTACGCCAGCAAGGGCTAGCAAAGTTCAGTGAGTCTCCATCACATATTCTAAGTCCTTCATCCCTTAGTTAACTTTGCTGTAATTCTCTTCTCACAAGGTTGTTCACTTTCCTCCATCAATGCATGGATTTGAAGGCAGTGAGAGGCTATTGTAACAGCTCAGCTGGTGTTTCCTCATATCATGGGCCAGTGATAGCAAGCCTCTGGCATCAATACCAAGTTTGATGCCAACAGATATTTGGTCTGGCACCAGCAAAAACAAGCTATGATGGTTTCTTTTTAAGTTTGTTTGGCACCAGTAGCAAAAACCATTCACTATGCTTGGCAGAGAGCCACAGAATTTCACCAAATGGTTTCTGCATCATAACTTCATAACAAGCGTAACACAGCGTAACTTCTAATTGCGGTGGAGCCTGCCCCTTAGCAAGCAATTCCCTCCTGGCAATTATATATCCAGGATTATCAATACACGTGCTGCTTTCCAATACCAGTTTCCTCCTCACTGTAAGAAAAATTTCCTTGAAGAGATCCACAAGTATCTCTTGAAGAGATCCACAAGAAATCCACCATTTGGATTTTGTCTCTGGTGGTGCAGTTACATGAAACCCGGTAATCAGCCATGAGAAAAGCCTTTGGGGACAGTTACTGAATTAAGTCATCACAAAATATGTTGTAAATACTGTGTTGATTTAACCTCACCCTGCACTCTTTTATGTCACGTATTTCTCAGACTGCAAACCTGCAATATATTCCAGAGAGGTTCATCTTATGCCAGTGTGGAACCTCATTCAAGCCCTGGAGGCTTAACACAGCAGTAGTAAAAGCAAGAATTAGCTATAAATTATCTGAGTCTCGAGACAGAGCAAGCTCCATTTTGACAGCTCCTTGCTAAATAGTACAGCACTTTCCAGTGAGGCCTTGTGGTGGATACCTCAGTGGACACAGCACAGGACAAGGGCTCCAGAGAGCTCAGTTCTACAGACGGGTTGCAACTGACTTACCAAATTATTTTCAGCAGGACTCGCCATCATTCCTTGTCACCTGTAAAATGGGAGAGCTCTGAGATTTGTTGGTGAAAAGGATGGTGTAAGAATCTGGATTTTTTTTCTCCAGTACTAAGCACTAATAACAAGAACAATAATGTCACTTCCTTCACAGGAGAACATCTGTGCCTGCCCATTCTGTCACAATCCATGGCTCCGGAGAAAAAAAAAAAATTGCTTAGATGCAGACATTTTTTATGGAACATGAAGTGGGCACAGGGAGGAAGTGATACTAAGCTCTCAGCATGGGAAAATTTCATTCTGAGTAATGTCTCCCAAGAAAATAAAGACTGCATGAAACAAAATTGAAATGGAACTCCCCATTGTAAATTCAGCTCTTAGTACCTGCCAAAGACACGAGAAAATCTCTACCCACAGGGAATGGATGTTCTTCTGAAAAAGTGCCAGTCTTTCCCAATGAGGGAATTCACGCAGACATGCATTCTGCTTCAGCGATCAAACTCTTCCTCTCAAGGTCTAAAGGAATTTCCACTAACCTCCTCTCTTACGGCGGGTCTCTAGCTGGATTTCCTTCAACTACAAAAATATACATAGTGCAATTAGCCAGCCCTCACAGACTGCAGTTCATTTATGCATGCTAGGCACATCTCCTGCTGCGAGCAGCCCGTCCAGAGCGAGCTCTTTGAACTGCTCCATTGTTTCTCATGTCGTGTGTTGCATTGTCCAGGCTGATCGCCCTGGCAAGGCAGGGCACTCCTGCAGCTTGCCACAGGAGGAGAAGGGATGATGGAGCACTTTGTCCAGCTGCTGTGCTGGGCATCTCAGGTGCACAAATAAGCTTGCCTGCCACTAACTATAGGACTTTCCAGACACCACAGGGACTTTTACTGACCAGTTGTTCTTACATGACCTTACTTGGAAACCCCCCTCTCTATTCTATAGTTAGAGATCTGGAGAGACTGAAGGCAGAAAAGAGAAGTAAGAAAGAACTGAGTGATAAAAAAGAAAAAAAAACTAGAAGAAATAATTTTTAAAAAGAATTTGAACCAAGAACATATCGTGACACACCTTTGAACGATGTTTGCTGAACTAAAAAACACATATCTCCATGGTTTAAAATACCATGGAGACAACATGGATCAACCAAAAATACACTCACAACCACCAGACAGCGAAGCATTTTTCTACATTTAGTAAGGAATATTTTTGTAATTGGTAGCTTGAGCAAATTGCAAAGGACTACACAACCTCATTTCCAAGTACCCATTGGCAGACTATTTCTGAATTAAATGAGTGAAATACTACAAAAAATGGGAAGCAAAGCTGATCGCGTGATTTTCAAGCAACCATTCACGTTTCTCCGTTTGTCTTTGACTGGATACTGTTTTGGGTAGGAAAAGAGGGGATTGTACATCAAAAAAGTCCTGCTCTGCTGATCTAAAGAGGAAGAGACATTTCATTTTAGAACAAAGAATTAGATTTTTTTTACCTTGCTTCACTGGAGGTTTTTGGAGGTTTTTCTTGGGGTGATGGGGGTGGGGTGTTTGGCTTTGCTATAATACAGCACATCAAAGTGCTTTTGATGTGAAGTTTACTTAACAGAATCAGTTTTTCCGATGATTGTGTTAATCTTTATAAACCTGAAGGCGATACTGTGCCTTTTTAAAAACTATAGCAGGAAAAGACTTGAGGTTACATACACTCTCAGTGGTGAGAGATGGGAGTAGTTGGATTATTTCACCACTTCTTACAACTTTGCTTGTGTTTCATTGGCAGCGTTAGCAATGGGCTTGATATTGCTCTCATTCAGGCCAGGAAGGCTCTGTTTAAACCCGGCACAGACCTTTCATAAGCACCTTTCATATATTTTCTCAGGTCAGAGCCACCAGAGATTTCAAGGGACAGTTTACAACAGGCACTGGCTCAGAGATAGCAAAGGGGCCTTGAGCCACAACAAGAATCAGTGCTGATCTCAGAAAGGTTCCCTGCTCCCACCCATTAATAGCTATCTTTGTATTATTTTGAGTACAAGCTTCTGTCCCCTCTTGAATCTTGCAAAACCAGCTTTGCCATCCACTCCTAGTCTTGAAGTATGGCTGTGAAAAAGCTTCTGTTATGTCTGACGTGTTTACCTACAGCATTTGAATGACTTTTTAAGTTCTTTGAATAAAGATAAGAGACAATGTGTACATTTTCCACACAAATAGTGGAACGGTAATAAAATAAACATCAAAGGCAAGCTAGCAAATCATCGCTACTTCACTGCTATTTACAACAAAAGCAGGAAGAGGAACAAACCTACCCTTGCCATTGGCATCATCGTAGAAAATATGAGTTTTGGAAGGAATGATACCTTTTTCCCATACCCTTAAACACAAACATTGGCACCTACAGCTAAGACAACACTTTACTGAAGGATTTCAGTTTACATCACATGGAGACAACAACAACAATGAACCAAGAGAGGTCTCCCTCCTCTTATTTTTGTCTTTCTGAATTGCCTGCTTTTCTCAACTGGTGCAGCTTTTGTGAGAACAGCAAGACATCCAGGGTATTATTTTTTCCATTAAAGTTTTCAAAAGGGGGACATAAGAACGCCTCACTCTTCAGTATTTACCACGTAAACTCATGCAGACTGAAGAAATGGCAAGGCTTTGAAACAAAATGCAGGTGTGTGTGGGGGAACATATATTCTGTTCAAGAGAGATCAAGATAGAAAGTAGGGCTGTTTGTTTCTCCTCTTAGTCTTTTAAACCTGAGTTTTTTTCATCTTCCTCTCCAATACTCCTTGAGAGCCAGACCACAGTGGAATAGTTCTAACCAGAGTGACTCTGCATTATGTATTTATCCTAAAATAAGGTCTGATTTAGAAAGACTGCTTTTGGAAAATATGGAGCAATCCAACTCTTACTCCAGGACACAAAATTCAAAGCATACATATGAGAAATAAAACATAAGCACCACACTGGATTTCTGCTGATGTTATTGTTATTGTTTTGCAGACGCCAGCGCTACTGCCATATGAAGTGAAATGGAATTTTGCAATGGACTCTGAACAGTGAGCAGAACAGGGAGTTTTCAGAGAAGCTGCTGCCAGCTAGCTCTCTTCATTGACTTCTTCTACCTAGCATAATGTTGAAGGAGAGAAAAAAAAAATTCTGAAGGAGGGCAAGACCCCAAGACCCTGACAACTTAAACCCAAAAAGAAACCCAAAAAGGATGACTAATTTTTTTAAAGAAGAAGTGTGTCTAGGTAAAATTGAAGAATACATAGTCCCAAGTTTTATGGGAAATTTACAGACTCACGGTGATTTAAAAAATGTTAAAGTTACCATTAAAAACACCCGAACCCAAAACCTACACAATAAAAGATTTTACTAGAGAGTGGCAGTTGTAAGAGAGAGGTTACAAACACACCATCCAGAAGAGCTTAAGCAATGCTACCACAGAAAGAGTAGCACACATAAAACTGAGGTTAAGGCTTTGTCTAACTCTCTCATAGCAAAACTCCAAAGCATTGCCTACCTGTTCCCATTCTACCTCTGCACCAGGTGTGCTTATGACAGAAGGAAAGAGAAGACCAGGACTGAAACTGTTTTGTCAGGCTGCATAAATCATTAGGAATTCACAACTGCAAAGCCATGTATTATTTTCCAACAGGTTGTTGAGCTGTCATATTACAACTTGTTGCTTTATACGGCGCTATTAAAATAAATCACTGCAGTAACAGGTTCAGCTCTGCCACCTATAAGTCATTCTGCATTTTACACCTGGGAGGCGGGCCGGCTCTGCTTAGTCGCGCCGAACTGCGGCTTCGTTCGAAATACCCGGGAAGGGGAGGGACCTGGCAGGAGAAAATACAAACAAGTTTCGTAAAATAACTTTCCAACAAGACCTCGCTGTCATCTTGGCTAATTATGGCTCTGATACGGCTTATTAGGGCATACCCACCTTTGCTACCTTGCTTCTCCACCCACCACCCTTTCAGATCTTTGTCCTGGCTCCGCCTCTCGCCGGCGTTATAATGGGCTGGTCTGAAAGTGGTGGAGAGACACACAACCACAGGGGAAGGGAGAGATAATGACAATAACACTAATAACCCTAATAACCCGTCTGCTGCCCGCCTCGCAGCGAGGAGCCAGCCCGGCGTCCCGGCACTGACAGCGCTCGAAGCCGGAGAGAGCGGAGTATCCCCGACGGCCCTGAGAGCTTCTCCCCGCGCCCCGGGAGCGCCGAACGGCAGCAGCGGCAGCGCCCCCGAGGAGCACCGAGCCCGGGCGGACGCGGAGAAGCCCCGGCTCCGGCAGCCGCCCGCCCGCCCGCCCTCTACTCGCACCGGCTCCACGGGGACCTCCTCGCCCCCCTCCTTCGGCCCCATGGAGCAGCGAGAGTAAAGGGCGAGAAGGACAAAAAGGGGGCGAAAGGAGAGCGAGCACCCCAGTGGGGAAGAAGGAGGTGGAAGCCCGGAGGAATCGCCCGGTCCCGAAGGCGACAGGGCACCGCAGCCCGTCCTCGGCGCCCACCGGCCGCGAAGGGGCCGGCCCCTGCCAGCGACCCGGGCACCGGGCGGCGCTGAGGCGGGCGCTGCCAAGCGGAGCTGTCCAAGCCGGCCAGGGGACAGCAGCCGCTGGGTCGCCCGGCTGCCTCCCGCCTCCATCCCTTGAGGCCGCGCCGAGGGGCGGGGGTCGCGCCCGCCCAGCGGAGCCGCGGGGTGCGGGGGGGCCGGCGGCGGCGCCGCCATGAAGCTGGAGGTGTTCTCGCAGCACTACGAGGACAAGCTGAGCGCCGGCAGCGACCAGGAAGGCAGCGGCTCGCTCTCCCCGGCTCCGGCGGAGAGCGAGCTGGGCTCGGACGGTGACTGCGCGGCCAACAGCCCGGGCGGCGGGGCAGGGCTGCCGGGGCATCCCCCGCCGCCGCCCCCCACGCCGCAGCCCCCGCCGCCGCCGCCCGCCGAGAGCGCCAAGGGGAAGCCCTACACGCGGCGCCCGAAACCTCCCTACTCCTACATCGCGCTCATCGCCATGGCCATCCGCGACTCGGCCGGCGGCCGCCTGACCCTGGCCGAGATCAATGACTACCTGATGAGCCGCTTCCCCTTCTTCCGCGGCGCCTACACAGGCTGGCGCAACTCGGTGCGCCACAACCTCTCCCTCAACGACTGCTTCGTCAAGGTGCTGCGCGACCCGGCGCGGCCCTGGGGCAAGGACAACTACTGGATGCTGAACCCCAGCAGCGAGTACACCTTCGCCGACGGCGTCTTCCGCCGCCGCCGCAAGCGCCTCAGCCGCGCCGCCCCGCCGCCGCAGCCCGCCCGCCCCGCCGCCGGGGTCCCGCCGCAAGTGCCGCAGGAGGCGGCCGGAGCGGGCGCCGCGTCCCCCGGCGCTTCCCCGCGGTGCTGCTGCGCCTCCTCGCCCTGTCACTGCGCGCCGGGAGCCAAGGAGGCGGCGGCGGGGGGCGGCGGGGCGAGGCCGGCGGGCGGCGGCGGCGCCAAGTTCTCCAGCTCCTTCGCCATCGAGAGCCTCCTGCAGCGGCCGGCAGGACCCCGCGCCGCCCCGCAGCCGCCGCCGACCCCGCACGGCCGCCTCCTGTGGCCGGCGCCGCCCGCGCCCCCGCACCTGCTGCCCGGCCCGTACCCGCTGCTGCCCTACCCGCCTGCCGCGCAGCCCCCGCCCGCCGCCGCCCTCTACGGCGGGGGCCTCCTGCAGCTCTGCGCCTACGGGCTGGGAGAGCCCTCGCCGCCGCCGCCGCCGCTGCTGCTGGGGGGCGGGCGGCCCGCGCTGGCCCCGGGGGAGGCGGCGCCGCTGGCGGAGCGGCCGCGGGCGCCGCTGTTCCACGGCGGGATCGCCAAGGGCGGGCGGGGGCCGCCGCCCGGCTCCCCGCTGTACGCGCCCCTCCGGCTGGCCGGGCCGCTGCCGCCGGCGGCGGGGGGCTCGGCCTCCTTCCAGCCGTACGCCGTGGAGACCCCGCTGGCTTAATAGAGCCCCCCCTCCTCCCCTGCGAGGGACCTGCCCGGGGAGGCGTGGAGGGGGAAAGGAGGAGGCTCTGGATCCCGCACTTTAAACTCCAGAGGCGACCGCAGCCTCCAAGCAAAAGCCTCGGTGACTGTGCCTTAGTGAAATGACAGTGGGTTTAACTTAAGCCAAAAAAAAAAAAAAAAAAAAAAAGGAAAACATAGAAAAAAATCATACAACTGTCGGTTTGGACAAAGCCATGAGCCTCAAGTGCTTCTTACTGTTCGTTGAGACTACTTGACTTAAGCCAGTCCCTCGCCATCCCCTTTGTGTGTCCCTCTCTTGTCCCCACATCTCCCGCTCCCGAAGGCGGGGGCAGCAGGTTGGGGGTGCCCGCGGAGGGGCGCGGTGGCGGCCGCTGGGGATGCGCTGTGCGCTTGGGAGGGCGGGGAGCAGGGAGGGGGCCGGGAGCAGCAGCGAGAGAGTCGGGGAGGGGGCCGGGGTCTGCTGAGGAGCCGTAGGTCTGTACTGCAAAGCAATGCATCACTGTGCCAAAAGAAACCTTTTCTCCTGTCCGGCAACTGGCATTTCCTGGGAAGGGAGGATATTAAATTATTTATAAAAGTAGTGTTTTTAACACAAAGAGAGTGCAGCTTTTTAAATTAATTATTGGAGGGGGCGGGAGAGGGGAAAGGGCTCAAGGAAATGTCAGGCGTTATGTCCTGTACTGGCTGGCGTTCTACGTTTATGGCCAGGACCATTGCTACTGGAAAGAGAAGAGTAAATTTTTTTCGTATTTTATTTTTGTGTTTGTATGTAATATATGTGCGTGTGCATTTTATTGACGCTCGGCCACCATGTTTTCCTTTCTCCTTTCCCCCGAATAAAAGCTGCCCCCTAAATAAAGGCGGTAATAAGGAGAAGAGCGTGATGTCTGTGCTGGCGTGAGGGAGGGAAGCCTGTCGTGGGACAGCCTTGACCGAGAAGCTTGGCAGGCCCGCGGGGGCAGCAGGGCTGCCCGCCCCTTCATCCCCATCCCTGCCGGCGGGTAGAGATGCCACCTATAGACCCGCCTTATTTTAGTCAGGGAGATGAGAGGTTCTCCTCTTGGGCTGCCGCCAGATATGAAAGTCCTCTGCAATTCCTCGAGTCAAATCAGAATTTCTCGCCGGGGCTCAGCCCTGCAGAAATGCTGGCGGAGAGATTTGCAGGCAAACCGCCTGACGTAGGGGCAGCCTGTGAATATCCTGTACATCTGCCTTCTGCCTGCCTTTTTTTTTTTTTCCTTCCCCTCGGTTTTTTTTTTTTGGTTTGGTTTGGTTTGGGGTTTTTGTTTGTTTGTTTGTTTTTGACGGGTTTTTTTGTTATTTTTTCCACGAAGGACGGCAGGTGACATGTAATCCTGTTGTTATCTCCCGGTCCAAGGAAAACTCGCTTCAGGAAGGTCGCTGGCACTACCGGGCTCCGGTTATTTCTGGTGGAGACATCCCCGGTGGCACTTACAACGGGAGAATCCTCAGCGGGTTGAAAGCTGAGGAGGATCTGTTGGTAATAAAAAGTTCGCACGCGTTGCCTTCTCCCGACGGGCGTTGTGTTAAGGCTGATTTGTGTTCTCAGAAGTGATCAGCAAAGCCTCAGAAAGGCGAAGTAGGGAAAAGGAAAGGTTAGGGGCTAACTGCCTGTGCTGCTGAAATAAAATCAGTGTCGTCCCCGAACTCGAAGAGTTTATACAAATGCTGAAATGATCATTCGGGGCTCCTTTGTTCGGTTGCTTGTTTTAATTAATACTTTTAAAAGTATGAAAATCGGCGGGTTTTTTCCCCTTCAAGTCCTCTGTAAGTGCAGGTTACCTAAAAAGAAAACCATGTCAAGGAGAATTTTTAATTACACCTATTTCGGACCTTGGGGTTTCTCTCCCACCTCTTTTTCCCTCAGCGCTGAGATTCAGCGGCTATCTTCTACCCTGCTCGCAAAAATTATTCCGAATAGCAAAGGTGTGTTGTGAAAGGAAGGCTTTAAACAGAACAATCTGCGGCCGAAAACAGCGACTTGTTTCACTACAGCTCAAACAGATTTCACGGTGCGTTAAGCTCAGACCATAACATCCATCAGAACATTGCGAGAGATTAGTGACTAATGTATGAAGTAATCCAGCCCTTGAAGGAATTGGTTTTTATGTACACACGCGCACGCACACATACACACACACTATTTCGACATCGTTCTGCCTTCAAGGCTCTGTGCAAATATTAATCTACCCTTCCATAATCTGCTCTTTCCTCTGGCTTGTATTTTACCATCTCTTTTTTATAGGAGTCCGTATGACCTGTTATCATGAAGCTCCTAGTATCTTTTGCTTTTGTCCATCTCTAAAGGTCATATTTCAGGGTGCGTTAGAAGTACCTTGGTGGAAAGCGGAATGTGTTGTTATAGCCACAAGTGTGTATTTTAATCGGATGCATTTAAGTGTGAATAGGGGTGAATTGTGTATAAACGTATGCTTAAACAGGATGACATGGAGCTTTTTACTTACGAAAAAAGAAAAAAAAAAGAAAAAAAAGGAAAAAAAAGAAAAAATAAAAAAAGGGGGAAAAGGGAAAAAAAGAAGAAAAAAGAAAAAAGAAAAAAAGGGAAAAAAGGGGAAAAAAGAAGAAAAAAGAAAAAAAAGAAAAAAGAAGAAAAAAAAGGAGAAAAAAGCCCACAGAGTTCCATATATCCCTTGTTAACAAGTATTCTATTCTGCATTCATCTTCTACGAAACTCCATTTTTTGATATGTCGAGAAACGTACGTCAACAGCACAGTAACAGGAATATCTGTGTCCTTGCGGTCGTTTCTGAGCCCTTCTTCGGATCTCCTCAGACGCTCGAAATGAGGGTATAAAGTGGTCCCCAGTGCGGGGCGATGGGAGCAGGGGGCGGGTATCTGTTGCTGTCCGGAGCCCGCTCGGCGGCGGGGCTGTGCGGCTTTCGGTAGGGAGGGTCTCCTCCGCCTCCTCCTCCTAGAGCATCATCCTTCTAAGAGGAGGCAAGAGACGAATTTCCCCCTGTTGACCTTTGGGTGGGAATTGTCCCATTCGCGCTACTTCTCAGAGCACGCCGGCTGATTTCTTCCGAGCGGACGAGGGCACGGGCAGGGAGAAGCCGCTGTGCCAGTGCCGTGGCCCCGCTGTGCCCAGGGGAGGAGCGGTCGCAGGGACCGGCCCGCAGCGGGACCGGCCCGCAGCCCCGCAGCCCCCGGCCCGTAGCAGCCCCCGGCCCGCAGCCCCGCAGGGACCGGCCCGCAGCCGCCGCCCGCCGCTCGGAGCGGAGCCGGCCGAGGGGCACGGCCGGCCCCGGTGCGCGGCCATAAATCCGAGCTGTCAGCCCTGACAGACGGCTGGTGAAACACAGCACCTGTCCAAACACTTTCCAGCAGCAGGTAATCAGAGAACCGACACTTTACATTTTTGTGTGGAACAAGCGCATTAACCATTTCACAGACCTTCCCAAAACAGCGAGGTTTGTGTGTCTGGGTGCTTTGTCTTTTTAAACGTCTAATAAATCAGGGTGACAGAAGAGAGACAAAGCCTTTTGCCTTGTGATATTTGACACATCAGCAGCCAGCCAACACTTTGGCGCCATGGCCTTTTAGTCCTACCGGTGTCTGCATCACCCACAGCATGTTTGTTGGATGGGTGCCGTTTGGGATGATACTCGAGGGATTTTTACACACTGCACAGGCAAAAATCAGGTCAATAGCAAAGAAAGCCTGACAGGAGCAAGGAGGAAAACAAGTCTGTCACCGTGTGAGAGGACCTGAAAGTATCCCATGCTGGCTGCTCCAACTCCACTGCAGTTTCTTCAATGGAAACACCAACCCGAGCAGAATTGCATGGGAACTCAGATTCAGACCGGGCTCTGGTTTTAAGCACTTTTTTGAGGAGAGATTTAGCTTTCCAAATAAATATATTTTGTTCCTGAGACTTTTCCCCCCTATAACTGATTAACTTCTTTCAGGCTTGAATGTTTAAATGTGCTTTAAAGCAGGGGGGAAAAATCATACCTGACAATCAAAATATTTTCATCAAATATTTTGGGCAGCTTCTCCATATCCTGCCCCAACTATGGCAGATAGTGATTAAAATGGTTACCTGAATAATGTTAGTCCTAGCCACTTTCCTAAATATCTTCAGATCTAAGCCTGGTGAGCAGCAAAACTGCCTAAATTTCTCCTGAATGGAATAAAATTAAATCAATGTAAAGGAGATGTTTAAGCAGAATTTTGTGCATTTGAGGAATTAATGACTGCCAAACAGTAAAACCTAGAAGAAATAAGCTTGCAAAAGTGATCTGTAGATAACAGCTTGCATATATTACATAGAGTCCATGCAGCAGGATAATACAATAAAACTGTGCCTAGTCTCCTCTGTAGTGGAGGCAAAGTGTTTAACTCTTGTATCTCAGTGGAGGCATGCCAGCAGGACAGCCTTTTGATTGTTATTTTCCCATCAGATTAATTAACCCAAATTTTCACCATCCAGATCTGACGAAGCCTGAAATTTGCTTTCAGCTTACCTTCCAAATCACGCATAAGATGGCATAAGTATCCCATCAGTGTCCATAATGCTACTCAGGAAGGAATCCACTGAAATAAATTTTATTCAACAGCCAGCTCAGCACAGTAGTGCTAGCTACAAAACTCAGTTTAACACAGATCTTTAAAGAAGGCTTCTGAGGAAAAATGTGCTGCCCTTTGTATCATACTCGATGCTAAAAAGACCGAAAGAAGTTGGATAGAATTTTGTCTTGGGAATTAGCAGGTTTTTCTTCCCCAAACCATTTTTCAAAATGGTGATTCTTAAGGGCTGGATGTTTCAGGAACAGAAGACCCTTAGAAAAAGAAATTCCACCCCAGAAAAGGCACATACAAAGGACTCAGATTCACAGGGCCTTCATTTTTCACACCATGCCTTAAGAAGCCCAAGGTGAAACTTCCTACACAAGAGCAAGGAGAACAAGCACAGCCCTACACAGAAGGGTAGTGCTTCTAACCAAAGCCCACATTTTGCACAACTCTTCACCAGGCTGGGAGAGGTGTTTCATTTAATAACAGGTAACAGAGTCAGTCCTTTTGTTGTGCCAGGTTTTTGCCTTTTAAGTCTGAAGTAGACAAAAACAAAGTTGAAATCCACCTCCAGCCAAATTCAAGGCACTAAGCTGTGATTTTGGCAAGAGTGCTTGTTGCAATTTT